TCATGTAGCAGTGTCCCTGCACTTAAAATTGGTGGCAGGGGCACTTGAACTAAAGTTCGTCGAATGAGCTTTAGTTCAAGCGCCCCCCGCCAATTTTAAGCGTGGGGATGCTGATACATGAGATGGGGCAGCACTTTAATTAGCGTGGTTCTTGGGGCTGTTCTAATTAAAGCACTACCCACTTCCCCACCCCCGGAGCATATGTAAAAGTGCCTGGAGGTATTAAATTTAATGTGGATTAGGAAAAGCACATTAATGCATGTGTAGACATGCCCTCTGTGTTTGGAAGTGTTTCCTGCTCCATCTCCACAAGTCTCGTCTCTCTTTCCATCCCACGTATTATCAGAATCCTGTGTTTCCTGTCTTCTAATCTTCCCATGCCTTATTTTACCTCTCACCTGTCATCCCATGTCTAGTTTGTCTTCTCAGTTTTAGACTGCAAGCTGTTTTGGATAGGGATGATGTCCTAGCACATTTTTGTAAAGTGTTGTGCAAAGTTACAATGCCATAAAAATGATATGAGAGGCAAGGATTTCTTTAGGTGATATCACTTGTTGAACCAACTGCATAGTTTGGATAGATTTAGACAAGCTTTTGAATGCAAGACATTCTTCTTCAGGAGAAGAATGAAAACCTGGAGAAACAATGTCTTGCATTTGAAAGCTTGTATAACTTTCTCGCAGCTATGCTTTTTGCCCAATAAAAGATATCACCTAAGGAAATCTTTCCTTTTTGCATAATTCCTGGACCATCATGGCTACAACATCACTCTAACTACCATAAAAATAATATTAAGAATGTTAGATCATAAGTAGGCTGGAGAAAAAGATGTCTAATATATTCTGCTACTGGGGAACAGGATTTACCTGCAAATATCATTCCCTTGAAATCAGTGTGTACTCCCAATTCTCTCTGGCATTTCTCATCACTCACATCATGTGAAATGCTCTCTTGCTGTGAGACCCATTCAGCATAGAACAGTGAGAATTCAAAGATACCATAAGAGAACTGGCTATAGGTCCCCAGTGATCCACCTTGTTTTGGATCATGATCCAACTGGTAGAGGACAGTGCCAGAACAATTCAAAGGACTGGGGACACAGAAGAGCATGTGGCCCATAAACTCCAAAAGGAGGTGTGAGTGAAGAGTGATTTTATGACTAGACTCTAATGCATAAACCAGATCCTCATTTTTCAGAACTTTAGCTCTCTCAGATAGTACTGTTGATTTTACTGGGGCTGCTTAGATGAATAAGAGTTTGTAATGCAAATGCAACAGTAGGTACAGTGTTTACTCAGCTCAGATCTATTATGATGCATTCCATTTTCTAAGTGAAGGAGGACTGAGTTTGTAATTAACCTAGGCATTTTTTCCTCCATCTGTTTTAAGAAATAGTTCTTACTGATTCTCTGAGCTAGTGTTTCACATAGGAAGAGGATTGCTTTGCAGGAAATCACCATTTCATTAAGTAAATATACCTTTAGTCGATGACCCTTCTCAAACCTGCAACTTCTTTGCTCTCTTTAGAGCGCCATACACGCTGTAGCAGTTAGCAGCATGCTTCTGGATTACAGTGTTCTAAGCAAGAGAAATTGCTCCTGAGATCATTTAACCTCCCTGGGGAGATGACAGGAAGGAATTAATCTTCCACTGCTAATCCATCCTGTGCTGCCGGATCAAAAATTGGCATCGATGGGGGTGCCCCGATAGGGAAGCCTGAAATGGCATTCACAATCCATGCAGCCCTTCACGCCCCAGAATGGAGAAATGATAGCAGGGAATCAAAAGGGCAGATATTTCAGGAAGCGTATGTAATGCATTGTCAAATCTTCTATGCTTTATGCTGGGTGGGAGTCTGGTTTTCACTGTTACACTATGGTTTAATCCATGTCAGCAAAGTAAACGTTGCAGAAAAGCATTCACCAATACTCCTGCAAATCAGTCTCTCCTTTTGCTCTGTTGCTATTTGCTGCTCCTTGCATTTGCCTATTCATGAGCATTCTGGTGCGTGAATGTTTATTCACCACACTATTTGTGGAAGGTAATATGGGCTAGTGTGAATAAGTGCTTGTGAGGGCATCTGCACCAGAAGGGTTTCTGTAGCCGTTGTGGAAAATTCTTTCTGTTGTGAGTACTACAATGGGCTGAATGAACAATTCAGAATGTGTGCAGACAATCTGCAAACAGAAAAGGGGGCTCCTGTTTCTAAAGCTTAGGTCAGGTCAGTCATATAGATGCAATACCCATGTGAGGTAGGTGACCAATCCTATGGCATGAAAAACAAACAGTAAATGCCCTTATTGACTAGGTTGTGTTTACTAAAAATGTGTTTGACCAAACCGCTTCTCGAACATTTGGGAAGAATGAACAAATCTGTACCAATCAAAAAAACCTGTGTGTGTACAATTTGGGAACAGAAAACCCGGGACTGAATCTCTGGGACAGACTTTTCAAAGTGAATGACGAGAAATTAATGTGAGGAGCTTGAGGACAAGGCTCGATCTTGTCCTCGTTACAATCAAAAGCAAAACTCACTTTGATTTCCCTGGGAGTAGGATTGGGCCCCAGAAGAGGTAGGTGGCTGGGCTTCATGCAGTAGCTGAGACTCCAAAGCATTTGGAGTCTCAGTTATGTCACGTATCTCTGCCTTACACAGTGCAAACAAGTGCTAGGGGCCCTGCATTCTTGTAGGTCCACACAGCCTGTGCTGACTTGGCAACTTGAAGGCTGGCTTTGCATCTTTGTCTGGCAGCAGGACTGACAGAATAGGAGCCTACTGCCTAATTCTGACTCCTCACCTGGCAGCGTGAGGCACTATGAACAGTATAAGGCTAAGCCTTACAAGAATTCCTCTTTTTTGGGGGAACAGAAGTGAAGTTTTTGGGGGAACAGACATTCAGCCCATTGGCGATGCGTAGGGGGTGCACACGGGTGCATGTGCACCCCCTGAGCTTGGCAGTCCACCCCCTGCAAAAAGTGCCACTGACACTGCTTGGTACCCACGCCCTCACCATGGACAACACCAGTGGTGTCTGCAGGTGGTCCCCAGTCACTGCTGGCTGCCGTTGTCACTGCTGGTGGTGTCTGCGGGTCAGCGCTTGCCTTCCCCTTGCTCTGCCACTGACACTGCCATGGCTACCTGCAGGAGCTCCCCGCTTGCTGCCACCACGCCCCTGCCGCCAACATTACCACCGCCACCTGTGGGTGAT